TTTAAGATTGAAGGAACCTGTTTTCTGTTGTTATAGTCCTCATATCTAATTTATATGAAGCAACTTATTGTGAGCTAGGTTTAAAGTAATGTTTAAATGATGCATCTCGAGAAGAATGTCAGTTAGGTCATCTTCTGTGAGGGTAGCGTGCATTTTTTGTTGCGAAGCACTGAACAGTTTCACCAGCTGCTGGTGAAAGACAGACAGGTAAAACTTGTTGTTGGTTATTGTGTCTTTTACAAAAAGTCTCACAAACCAGTGTTTGCTCTCAGGAGTGATCCTTTGTTTAAGTTTGCATGATCCACACTTTAGTAATTTGGATGCACTGGTAAGAAAACAATGTTCGTGGAGAAGAACTTGATTAATATCTTGGCACCTCCATTCTTGAATCGGCAAAAGTTGATCACAGAGTAAAGCAACCAAACACAAATTGATTGACCTCTTTTCTTCCTCGAGATTCAGCAGTTTGTGACCTTGATGAATAATTCCACAAGCAAATGAAGACATTTAGCTAAAAAATACTTGCCTTGGCCTTGTAAGCGCCTGACAGCGTGCTCCTCAATTCTCAAGCATGGATCTCTAAAAGAAAAACAGCCAAACACAAATTGATCTCTTTTCGTTCGTGACCTTGATGAATAACTACACAAGAAAATGAAGACATTTTAATAGCAAATGAAAACATTCAGAAAATACTTACCTACTTGTATGATGGCAACGTCAAACAACTGACAGCATACGAAAGATTTGAAAGTCGAAAGCGTCTGGTCAAACAACTGACAGCGTGCGAAAAATTTGAAAGTTGAAAGCATCTGACCGGGTGCAAGGATTTCTCACGTGCAAAGGGATCTCACGCGTGGATCCCTGATGATATGACAGCCATGTGATGTGGGTGTTATTGTCATTTCAATTGTCCCAGATGATACTCTACTCTGCAGGCTTTGAGTCTTACATCCGAGAAAATTTTTGATTTTTCGCCCTGCAGATAAGAATAGTGTGCTGTCTTGCTAACGCTCGACAGCAACA